ACCCGACCCTAACTCACTCATCACTGCTGTCTGAAAAATTATGATTATTATTTATGAACTGTGCTATACAAAGCTGGATCTGTAGAAACCCTTAAAAACAACTCTATGGAATTAAAATAATGTTGTGTATTGAGTCTGGGTGGATCACATTCAGCTCAAAGAGGCAGATAGTGACGTATACGGCTGTTTTATACCAGTGATAGCAATAGTCAAGAGAAAGTAGATGAAAACGGTAAGACTTGGACCGATCCATTGGAGCATATTCAGGTAAAATGTGATAAACATTTTGAAACGAGTGCTAACGGTTTTTTAATTGCGGTCTTTCCGGCGAGGCGGGTGTGAACCGGGCTCTGCTGTAAAGACAGAACAATACACGGATTACAGAGGTCCTCATGGTTTCCTAAGCAGCTGCGTTGGTCCAAATGGATTTCACAAGTTAATGTGCTTACGGAGCGCTGGGACGAGAGCTGAGCCGGGCCATTGTACCAGACCCATCTGAGCCGGGCCATTGTACCAGACCCATCTGAGCCGGGCCATTGTACCGCTGTATACATCTGTGTTTTCATAATGCGGCAATTAATGTTCATTTGCCGTCAATGACTCCACCACTGTTTGCTCTGAGGCTGAGTTCCAAATGAAGCAATGAAAGACACAGTTAAAGCTCGGGTACCTGGTTTTGTTTAGTCAATAATGGTTTGTCCCGTCTGTAACTAGTAATAGTAGTACGGCCCCTCCCACCACCACCAGACTCATTCTAATGTGGGGGAAGTGTCTTGCCTAAGGACACAGCCACAGTTTGGCACTTTACAGCCGTTGCATGATATTGTTAAAACTGTGTGATGGGGTTGGAACCAGCATTTACAAAATAAATAGTTAAAGAAGCTATACCCAATTTATTTTTTATGAGTTCATAAAAATGCTTATTACTACAAACAAGTTGTATTATAATCCGTAATTCAATTGAAAACTCGAGCTCATTGATTCAGCTGTGGATGAACTCAGGACGTAAAAAGTGCTGAGTAGAGACGCCAGCTCTCCTCCAATCACAGAACGAGAAGCAGCACTGTTACAAACAGGCCACGCCTCCTCTAGCATCTGCAGGTAAACACAGTAGCATGTTAGCATAAGTGGCTATAACTCCTCTGGCTGTAACTGCAGACACAGCAAAACAGCCCAAACCACGCAACAGTGAGGAAGAGAAGAGGAACTAAAGCCACAACATGATCAAAGAAGAAGGGCTAAACAGACTGAAAAAAACCTTACAGAAACGGGTATAGCTCCTTTAACAGTTTAGAACCGATACAATGATGTGGTTGTTTTTCCTGAGACAATAGGCTTTAAGATGAGGTATAACATGCCATAGTCGCCCATTACCATCTTGCTGCAAGTTACAGCATCAAAGAGAATTTAAAGTCATTTCAGGGGCCAATAAAAACTGTCTTGCGGAAGGACTTTGACCCACGGGCCTAATACACACACACACATGCAGCGTTCATTACTTCCACGCTCCTTATGGGCAAATTGGGTAAAGTGTCTTGCCCAAGGACACATCAACATCAGTGGAGTTGGTGGAGGAGGTCTCTCGGTGGCGTCAGGTGATTATTTATGATTTTAAACGGTAAAACTAAAACACTTGACTAAAGCCACTTTCTGTTTTTTTGAGCTAGTGTTAAATGTCATAATAATAATTGTGGATAATAAATGTTCAGATTCCAGTCGGTGAATAATGGGTTGAACCTCGGAGGATCTGCTACACGTGTTCTCTGTAAACACGCAGAAAAATGACTCCGGTAATTACGGCGTGTAGATCTCACCGTCACCGCGGGATTAATCATCACCAACTCCCGCTAATTAATTGTTTGTAATTAGTTTTTCCGCTTTGCTTTGTATGTAAATGTGTATTGTTTACAGGTGATGTATGAGGTTTTCTTTCCGTCCAAAAAAACATGTCTGCTGCGTTCTTTTCTGCCGGAGTTTGTCACCGTCTGGTTGCCACGGAGATGGTTTTTTAATCGAATGGGGCGTAATCTGTAATTCATTTCACTTCAATGTTTATGTGAATAGATCTAAGACAAAATGGCAGTTGTTTTCGAGGGGGTTTTACAAAGTTGCCGATTCACCAACAGCAGATCAGAGAATCAAACACACAGGGATTACATAATAACAGCGGGAGCAGAGAGAGCCAGGCCAGCGCTCACATTCGTTAGTGCAGCTTAAGAAGTTTGGACACCCCTGTCAGAAGTGAAATGCACTGATTGGCCGATCCACACAAAATTCTCTGAACAAATAGATCTCGGTTGGAAACTTTTTTATGTTTAATATTAGAAAAATGGTTCAAGACTATATCCAGCCAGACTGAGACTTGGGCAGCGGGTTCTCTGCGTCCTGGAGACTTTTATCTGACAAAAAAAAAATATATATATATAATCTATAATCTAAGTCCTGGATCTACAGCCTGGTGGTTCTTTGGTGGTTCTTTGGTGGTTTTTGGTGCTTCTTTGGGTCTCAGGACCGTGATGATCCAGACATTTACAGACATTGATCTCTGTTCCTTATGGATCGAGGGCTCTGTGTGTTAGGTAACGTTGCATTTCTGTGTTGATTTTCGGATCTGTTTTGGTGAATCGACAACGCTGTAAAGTCTTCTGAGATAAAAGTTGGCCGTGATTTTGGGCGATACAGAAATACATTGAATTTAATTGAATAGTTTCTGTAACTTTCTGGTGTCAGCTGCAGCGGACGATGAGGTCAGAGCGTGTTCTCTGGAGGCTGAAGCTAAGCAGTGCAGGGCCTGGTTAGTGCTGAGATGGGAAACCTCTTCCCCCCCTCTCCCCAAGAGTGCAAACATGTTTGTTTATTATGCTAAAGTTAGAGATTTTAGACTAGCTTCTTTATTATTTATTATTAGAGATGTAATTGTATTCGAGTATAGAGTTATTGTTCTCTCGTGCTGTGTCCTCATTCCTTCTGTTGAGTTCGGAAAAATAATCTTAATCTTAAACTTAAATGTTGAACCAATAAATTCCCCCAAAGAATGTTAAGTTGATTTTATTTTACTGTTATTTATTTTTAAATTATGTATAGTTGGGTTCATATTTTTGACACGTGCAAAAAAAAGTAAGTCACAGTATTTAGAACAAACATAAGAAAGACCATTATGGTAGAACTGTGCAACAGAACATATTACTGTAAAAACATACTGTCCGGCCACATGTGTTCATCTACATCACAGCGGAGGTCTTCCCTTCAAAGGCAGAGAGGAAAGTACCTCCTTTAGTGTGAACCCACCCTCTGCAGCATCTGCAGGGCTGAGCATGTGGACGCTGGTCAGAAACTTTCCAGTAAGACGTTTTACTATTGGGGAGATATTCAACCAGCCTCCTGCATGAGCTGCATCCACTCTGACCAGATGTGAGCGGTGAAAGATCACGTTATCCCACAGTGACATATTTACTCAGATGGTCTCAGTTGGACCCCTCTCATCCTCAGGGACTGTGGATCTGTAGAGTGTCTGGAAACGTAAGAAGGTGTTGGGTGTTGTAAGGACCGAGGAGGAGGGGCTGAGGACACCATTTTCCAAGATGGCTGCACACACCGTGATATCCCCCTCGTTGGCCTGGAACATCAGTTGGTGCTCTCGGTCCTTCTTCCTTTGGCCAGATTGAAACCTGCCTCAGCGACATAAATGAGTGCGGTGGTTCCCTGGCCTTTAGCTCCAGCACACGCTTTATCAAATTCTCCTAATGTAAGAACTTAATGTAGCATCATGCATTTGTGACAACATAGTGTACAGTATGTATCCTGCTGTGGATATACAGAAGTACATCTACACAAAGTACTGTCTGACAGTTTACAGTGAGGCACATCACAGTATTTACCTGCAGGTCTCCTTCACCCTTTCACTGATCCTTTCAAATGGTTTTCTGTCACCACTACACAAATGGCTTCCTCTTGTTGTTGGGTAAAAACAGGCCCCGTCCACCTCAGGATGTCTTGCAGTCCTAGTGCTGGAGGAAATACAAGTTTGCACAGATATAGTATTGTACAGTAAATACACACAGTACATACTGTATACATACTGTACATACAGTAACAAGGTATTGGAACAGTATGTCCAGTACTGTACATACCTGTTCTCCCTACGAACTGTCTGAATGATGGAAGTCTCGGTGGTTGTCCCCACATTCGGTTGCACACGTCGGCCTCAGCCACAGTGAGGCCGTGATGGTCCACAAGTGTAGCCCTTCATCAGGAACTTGCAGATGTACTTCACCTCTTCTTCTTCTGCCCCTGTTTTGACCCCGTCCTTCGACGATCCTCACTCTTCCTCCACAACGCTGATGTTCCATGTTTGTGGCACAGAATTGTAATAAATGGCACACACTGTGTCCTGTTGGGTCATATTTGCCAAGTGAGGGTTCACGGGAACAGCTCTGACTGTGGCTTGTCATTGGTTACAATGCTTCACACACCTCCTCATGAGGGAAGCTGAAATTCACCTCAGAACAATTGTTCCATTTAGGAAAGATAAATGATGCAGGAATGTATGAAATTAAATGGAAAGATTTTGGTTTTGAACCAGTTCAACAGTTTTGTCTGTGACTAAAGCCATGAAATGAGGACTATTGGTTTTAAGGGAATTGTATGAAAGTAACTGATACATGAACAAAAGCATTTGTAAAGTGTTCAGGAGACACTGCTGCGATGATGTCACACATGACCCAGAGTTGTGGAGGTTGGACTGAGAGTTATGAGAACTTTAAGTCTGAGAAATGCACCAAAGCCACTGAGAAAAACTGTACTGCAATGTGAGGCGAGATGTTGATGGTTTAAGTGTTCCTGTTTACGACACTACGCAGCAGGGTTGCCAGGTCAGAGAAACATAATACATTACATTTTTAGTCAAAAAATCATTCTGGGTTTTTTTGGTGGAAAATCTAGCCAGAATTTGGCAACCCAGGGGGGTCGTGTGCTTCGATGTGAGCGGTTGAAGGAACACGTCATTCAAGATAACAGACTCCTCCTGAGAGCCTCCTCCTGAGGGCCTCCTCCTGAGGGCCTCCTCCTGAGAGCCTCCTCCTGAGGGCCTCCTCCTGAGGGCCTCCTACTGAGAGCCTCCTCCTGAGAGCCTCCTCCTGAGGGCCTCCTCCTGAGAGCCGCCTCCTGAGGGCCTCCTCCTGAGGGCCTCCTCCTGAGAGCCTCCTCCCGAGGGCCTCCTCCTGAGAGCCTCCTTCTGAGGGCCTCCTCCTGAGAGCCTCCTCCTCAGGGCCTCCTCCTGAGAGCCTCCTCCCGAGGGCCTCCTCCTGAGAGCCTCCTCCTGAGAGCCTCCTTCTGAGGGCCTCCTCATGAGAGCCTCCTCCCGAGGGCCTCCTCCTGAGAGCCTCCTCCTGAGAGTCTCCTCCTGAGGGCCTCCTCCTGAGGGCCTCCTCCTGAGAGCCTCCTCCTGAGAGCCTCCTCCTGAGGGCCTCCTCCTGAGGGCCTCCTCCTGAGAGCCTCCTCCTGAGGGCCTCCTCCTGAGGGCCTCCTACTGAGAGCCTCCTCCTGAGGGCCTCCTCCTGAGAGCCTCCTCCTGAGGGCCTCCTCCTGAGGGCCTCCTCCTGAGAGCCTCCTCCCGAGGGCCTCCTCCTGAGAGCCTCCGTCTGAGGGCCTCCTCCTGAGAGCCTCCTCCTGAGAGCCTCCTCCCGAGGGCCTCCCTCCTGAGAGCCTCCGTCTGAGGGCCTCCTCCTGAGAGCCTCCTCCTGAGAGCCTCCTCCCGAGGGCCTCCTCCTGAGAACCTCCTCCTGAGAGCCTCCTCCTGAGGGCCTCCTCCTGAGGGCCTCCTCCTGAGAGCCTCCTCCTGAGAGCCTCCTCCTGAGGGCCTCCTCCTGAGGGCCTCCTCCTGAGAGCCTCCTCCTGAGGGCCTCCTCCTGAGGGCCTCCTCCTGAGGGCCTCCTCCTGAGAGCCTCCTCTTGAGAGCCTCCTCCTGAGGGCCTTCTCCTGAGGGCCTTCTCCTGAAATGACGTGCGCTGACATGCTGCAGTACCACCCCGGGCCTGTGGGGGTGGACCTGGAATAAGAATTAGCCAATGCTAACATATAGCATCTTCTTAGCTCTGGAAAACGTCTTTACAGGATGGACCAAAAGTTGTCTCTTGGCCCAAAGCTCCGTTCCACATGTGTGTCAATGCTGAGTGTTCTGGACCACTCTAGTTTAGTCGCTGTGGACTTTAGAAGTCTCTCGTTTCTTTTGGGCGGGACCACTCGCGGCCATTTTGGATTGCTCCAGTAGAGCACAATGTTTGGCCCATTAGTTAGAACGGCGGAGATAAACATGACTCTGTCCGTTAATATTTACAGTCTATGATAAAAACACGCAGAATGGCTCAGATACAGGGTTCAGTCAAGTCATAAAGTGCAAAAAGACAAAGACAAAGAGTGTTTTAAAAAGTGTTTATTTCAAACTTTTATTTTTACAGAATAAATAAAACAAAGAAGATTCAGACGTTCCTTTTGAAAAATACAGTTTGAAACAGAGTTGGACGAAGCTAATGCTAATCGGGCTCCAGTCTTCTACAGAAACATCACTCGTTAGTTAGCATTAGCCGTTAGTAGAGTTAGCATTAGCGGTTAGTAGAGGCAGTATTAGCGGTTAGTAGAGTTAGCATTAGCAGTTAGTACAGTTAGTATTAGCGGTTAGTAGAGTTAGCATTAGCAGTTAGTAAAGTTAGTATTAGCGGTTAGTAGAGTTAGCATTAGGCACAATTTTACTAATTTTCATATTTTTTTCAAGGGGATTTGTTCCATTGTGTGAATCGAGTGTTTTTATTTGAATCTGACACATTCTGTTCGAAACAGATTCTCCAACGAGACAAAAACATTTAGTTTGATTTCAAAAACTGTTTTATTTCCTCCAAAGGAAACATTTTTCTGTCTTTTTAAAACAAATCCTCATAACTGTCTATGGTTTTACCTGTCTATGGTTTTAACTGTCTATGGTTTTAACTGTCTATGGTTTTACCTGTCTATGGTTTTAACTGTCTATGGTTTTACCTGTCTATGGTTTTAACTGTCTATGGTTTTAACTGTCTATGGTTTTACCTGTCTATGGTTTTAACTGTCTATGGTTTTAACTGTCTATGGTTTTACCTGTCTATGGTTTTAACTGTCTATGGTTTTACCTGTCTATGGTTTTAACTGTCTATGGTTTTAACTGTCTATGGTTTTACCTGTCTATGGTTTTAACTGTCTATGGTTTTAACTGTCTATGGTTTTACCTGTCTATGGTTTTAACTGTCTATGGTTTTAACTGTCTATGGTTTTACCTGTCTATGGTTTTAACTGTCTATGGTTTTACCTGTCTATGGTTTTAACTGTCTATGGGTTTAACTGTCTATGGTTTTAACTGTCTATGGTTTTAACTGTCTATGGTTTTAACTGTCTATGGTTTTAACTGTCTATGGGTTTAACTGTCTATGGTTTTAACTGTCTATGGTTTTAACTGTTTATGGTTTTAACTGTCTATGGTTTTAACTGTCTATGGTTTTAACTGTTTATGGTTTTAACTGTCTATGGTTTTAACTGTCTATGGTTTTAACTGTTTATGGTTTTAACTGTCTATGGTTTTAACTGTCTATGGTTTTAAAACAGGTAAAATGTGTGAAAAAATCCCTTGAAAAAAGAAAGATTCTGCCTAAAATAGTTTTAATTACTTTAGATTTTTTAGATTATTTTTCTTGTAATCTAAACTTATTTTATATAAACAAGAAAAGTCTGTAAACAAGATAAAAAAAACTTTAAAAAATCTTAAAAACTTACTGCTCAGACTTTAACGTTTTATTTTTATAAACTAGTAAAATAATCTTATGACAAACTACAGACAAGAAACTGTTTTTAGACGGACACGAACACTGACCCTCCCCCTTCTCTCTGAGGGAGGAGTCTGAGGATCAAGACCGAGAGAGAGAGACCAGAGAGAGACCAGAGAGAGAGACCAGAGAGAGACCAGAGAGAGAGACCAGAGAGAGAGACCAGAGAGAGACCAGAGAGAGAGACCAGAGAGAGACCAGAGAGAGACTAGAGAGAGACCAGAGAGAGAGACCAGAGAGAGACCAGAGAGAGAGACCAGAGAGAGAGACCAGAGAGAGACCAGAGAGAGAGACCAGAGAGAGACCAGAGAGAGAGACCAGAGAGAGACCAGAGAGAGAGACCAGAGAGAGAGACCAGAGAGAGACCAGAGAGAGACCAGAGAGAGAGACCAGAGAGAGACCAGAGAGAGACTAGAGAGAGACCAGAGAGAGACCAGAGAGAGAGACCAGAGAGAGACCAGAGAGAGACCAGAGAGAGACCAGAGAGAGACCAGAGAGAGACCAGAGAGAGAGACAAGAGAGAGACCAGAGAGACCAGAGAGAGACCAGAGAGAGAGACCAGAGAGAGACCAGAGGAGACCAGAGAGAGACCAGAGAGAGAGACCAGAGAGACACCAGAGAGAGACCAGAGAGAGAGACCAGAGAGAGAGACCAGAGAGAGACCAGAGAGAGACCAGAGAGAGAGACCAGAGAGAGACCAGAGAGAGAGACCAGAGAGAGACCAGAGAGAGACCAGAGAGAGAGACCAGAGAGAGAGACCAGAGAGAGACCAGAGAGAGACCAGAGAGAGACCAGAGAGAGAGACCAGAGAGAGACCAGAGAGAGAGACCAGAGAGAGACCAGAGAGAGACCAGAGAGAGAGACCAGAGAGAGACCAGAGAGAGAGACCAGAGAGAGACCAGAGAGAGAGACCAGAGAGAGAGACCAGAGAGAGACCAGAGAGAGACCAGAGAGAGAGACCAGAGAGAGACCAGAGAGAGAGACCAGAGAGAGACCAGAGAGAGAGACCAGAGAGAGAGACCAGAGAGAGACCAGCGAGAGACCAGAGAGAGAGACCAGAGAGAGAGACCAGAGAGAGACCAGAGAGAGACCAGAGAGAGAGACCAGAGAGAGAGACCAGAGAGAGACCAGAGAGAGAGACCAGAGAGAGACCAGAGAGAGACCAGAGAGAGAGACCAGAAAGAGACCAGAGAGAGACCAGAGAGAGACCAGAGAGAGACCAGAGAGAGAGACCAGAGAGAGACCAGAGAGAGAGACCAGAGAGAGACCAGAGAGAGAGACCAGAGAGAGACCAGAGAGAGACTAGAGAGAGACCAGAGAGAGAGACCAGAGAGAGACCAGAGAGAGAGACCAGAGAGAGAGACCAGAGAGAGACCAGAGAGAGAGACCAGAGAGAGACCAGAGAGAGAGACCAGAGAGAGACCAGAGAGAGAGACCAGAGAGAGAGACCAGAGAGAGACCAGAGAGAGACCAGAGAGAGAGACCAGAGAGAGACCAGAGAGAGACTAGAGAGAGACCAGAGAGAGACCAGAGAGAGAGACCAGAGAGAGACCAGAGAGAGACCAGAGAGAGACCAGAGAGAGACCAGAGAGAGACCAGAGAGAGAGACAAGAGAGAGACCAGAGAGACCAGAGAGAGACCAGAGAGAGAGACCAGAGAGAGACCAGAGAGACCAGAGAGAGACCAGAGAGAGAGACCAGAGAGACACCAGAGAGAGACCAGAGAGAGAGACCAGAGAGAGAGACCAGAGAGAGACCAGAGAGAGACCAGAGAGAGAGACCAGAGAGAGACCAGAGAGAGAGACCAGAGAGAGACCAGAGAGAGACCAGAGAGAGAGACCAGAGAGAGAGACCAGAGAGAGACCAGAGAGAGACCAGAGAGAGACCAGAGAGAGAGACCAGAGAGAGACCAGAGAGAGAGACCAGAGAGAGACCAGAGAGAGACCAGAGAGAGAGACCAGAGAGAGACCAGAGAGAGAGACCAGAGAGAGACCAGAGAGAGAGACCAGAGAGAGAGACCAGAGAGAGACCAGAGAGAGACCGAGAGAGAGACCAGAGAGAGACCAGAGAGAGAGACCAGAGAGAGACCAGAGAGAGAGACCAGAGAGAGAGACCAGAGAGAGACCAGCGAGAGACCAGAGAGAGAGACCAGAGAGAGAGACCAGAGAGAGACCAGAGAGAGACCAGAGAGAGAGACCAGAGAGAGAGACCAGAGAGAGAGACCAGAGAGAGACCAGAGAGAGAGACCAGAAAGAGACCAGAGAGAGACCAGAGAGAGACCAGAGAGAGACCAGAGAGAGAGACCAGAGAGAGACCAGAGAGAGAGACCAGAGAGAGACCAGAGAGAGAGACCAGAGAGAGAGACCAGAGAGAGACCAGAGAGAGACCAGAGAGAGACCAGAGAGAGAGACCAGAGAGAGAGACCAGAGAGAGACCAGAGAGAGACCAGAGAGAGAGACCAGAGAGAGAGAGACCAGAGAGAGACCAGAGAGAGACCATAGAGAGACCAGAGAGAGACCAGATAGAGACCAGAGAGAGACCAGAGAGAGAGACCAGAGAGAGACCAGAGAGAGAGACCAGAGAGAGAGACCAGAGAGAGACCAGAGAGAGACCAGAGAGAGACCAGAGAGAGAGACCAGAGAGAGACCAGAGAGAGACCAGAGAGAGAGACCAGAGAGAGAGTCCAGAGAGAGACCAGAGAGAGACCAGAGAGAGAGACCAGAGAGAGACCAAAGAGAGAGACCAGAGAGAGAGACCAGAGAGAGACCAGAGAGAGAGACCAGAGAGAGACCAGAGAGAGAGACCAGAGAGAGACCAGAGAGAGAGACCAGAGAGAGACCAGAGAGAGAGACCAGAGAGAGACCAGAGAGAGAGACCAGAGAGAGACCAGAGAGAGAGACCAGAGAGAGAGACCAGAGAGAGACCAGAGAGAGACCAGAGAGAGAGACCAGAGAGAGACCAGAAAGAGAGACCAGAGAGAGACCAGAGAGAGAGACCAGAGAGAGACCAGAGAGAGAGAGAGAGACCAGAGAGAGACCAGAAAGAGAGACCAGAGAGAGACCAGAGAGAGAGACCAGAGAGAGACCAGAGAGAGACCAGAGAGAGAGACCAGAGAGAGACCAGAGAGAGAGACCAGAGAGAGACCAGAGAGAGAGACCAGAGAGAGAGACCAGAGAGAGACCAGAGAGAGACCAGAGAGAGAGACCAGAGAGAGACCAGAGAGAGACTAGAGAGAGACCAGAGAGAGACCAGAGAGAGAGACCAGAGAGAGACCAGAGAGAGACCAGAGAGAGACCAGAGAGAGACCAGAGAGAGACCAGAGAGAGACCAGAGAGAGAGACAAGAGAGAGACCAGAGAGACCAGAGAGAGACCAGAGAGAGAGACCAGAGAGAGACCAGAGAGACCAGAGAGAGACCAGAGAGAGAGACCAGAGAGACACCAGAGAGAGACCAGAGAGAGAGACCAGAGAGAGAGACCAGAGAGAGACCAGAGAGAGACCAGAGAGAGAGACCAGAGAGAGACCAGAGAGAGAGACCAGAGAGAGACCAGAGAGAGACCAGAGAGAGAGACCAGAGAGAGAGAGACCAGAGAGAGACCAGAGAGAGACCAGAGAGAGACCAGAGAGAGAGACCAGAGAGAGACCAGAGAGAGAGACCAGAGAGAGACCAGAGAGAGACCAGAGAGAGAGACCAGAGAGAGACCAGAGAGAGAGACCAGAGAGAGACCAGAGAGAGAGACCAGAGAGAGAGACCAGAGAGAGAGACCAGAGAGAGACCAGAGAGAGACCAGAGAGAGAGACCAGAGAGAGACAGAGAGAGAGAGAGAGAGACCAGAGAGAGACCAGAGAGAGACCAGAGAGAGAGACCAGAGAGAGAGACCAGAGAGAGACCAGCGAGAGACCAGAGAGAGAGACCAGAGAGAGAGACCAGAGAGAGACCAGAGAGAGACCAGAGAGAGAGACCAGAGAGAGAGACCAGAGAGAGACCAGAGAGAGAGACCAGAGAGAGACCAGAGAGAGACCAGAGAGAGAGACCAGAAAGAGACCAGAGAGAGACCAGAGAGAGACCAGAGAGAGACCAGAGAGAGAGACCAGAGAGAGACCAGAGAGAGATACCCGGCCCACAAACTCGAGTTTCTCGCCTTGAAATGGAGTGTTACGGAAAAATTCCATGATTATCTGTATGGAACAAACTTCACTGTGGTTACAGATAACAATCCTCTTACTTATGTTTTAACATCAGCCAAACTAGATGCCACAAGTCATCGATGGTTAGCAGCATTGTCCACTTACTCTTTTAAAATGCAATACCGTGCCGGAAAACATAATCACGATGCCGATGCTCTTTCCAGACGTTGCCATGATGAGGTTGCGGAAGACCCACAATCTAAACAAGAGTGGGATCTCATTCACCATCTGGCTGAGCAATTGTCAGTCCCGGATGAAGCTGCAGAGATATGTCCTGACATTGTTAATGCCATCTGTCAGAGCAGTCTTGCTAGAGCTTCTCCCCAGTCCGATGTCACTCTGGTTGAATCCATGACAGTCTCTGCTGAAGCTATTCCATCAGAGTTTGCCAATGAAGAGTTGCACGGCTTACCTGTACTTCCCTCTATGACACACACAGATTTGAGGGAAGAACAGAGTGCCGACCCCGCAATCCGAGAAGTCATCCGCCAACTGGAAACTGGTGAGCGAATCCTCCCTGCTCTTCGGGAAGAACTTCCAGAACTTCCCCTGCTGTTACGGGAGTGGAATCGCTTGGCGTTGGATGATGATGTTCTGTATAGGAGGAGACAAGAAGACGATACAGTGGTCCTTCAACTTGTCCTACCTCCTGCCCTGCGTTCTACCGTTCTGAAAAGTCTCCATAGCGACATGGGGCACATGGGGATAGAACGGACTCTGGATTTGGTGCGGCAACGGTTTTTCTGGCCAAAGATGGCAAGTGATGTGGAGCACTTCATTCAATCATGTGGCCGGTGTGTGCGACGCAAAACCCCACCTGAACGAGCAGCTCCATTGGTAAATATCCAAACAAATCGTCCTTTGGAACTTCTATGTATTGACTTTCTTTCTATTGAGCCAGATAGCAGCAATACAAAAGACATTTTAGTGATGACTGATCACTTCACGAAATGTGTTGTCGCTATTCCAACTGCGAATCAGAAGGCGAAAACTGTAGCAAAGTGTTTGTGGAGTGATTTTATGGTCTACTATGGTATTCCTGAGCGTCTACATTCGGATCAAGGACCCGATTTTGAATCGCGACTAATTAAGGAACTTTGTGAGGTGGCCGGGATTAAGAAGACTCGAACTACCCCGTACCATCCTAGGGGCAATCCGGTCGAACGGTTTAATCGGACCCTTTTAAGCATGCTGGGTACACTTGAGAAAAAGCAAAAGTCCAAGTGGAAAGACTACGTCAAACCTCTTGTTCATGCATATAATTGCACAAAAAATGAGGTGACAGGGTTCTGTTGTAGAATTACATACCCCAAAGCAAGGAGAAAGCTCAAAAGTATTTGTCTTAATCAGGAGCGTAAGTTTATTGTACACACGTGCGGAGAGCTCACACACAAAGGCAGCATGCATCAGCTCTGGCGCGCAGAGCTCAGCTTCCTGTTTACATAGACATCACATGAAAAGACAGTCACGCCCACAACAGATGGGAGGGGGCCACCAGTACATGAGGCGCATAGGAGCGGAGGCGCCATGCCCCAGCAGAGAGGCAATCAGACAGTGGCATGGATGTGCGAACAGACAGACAATGGTCATGCAGGATGTCTAAATGCAGGCATACAGATGCAAGATGCGAAAGGCACAAGGGTGTGACAGTGATTTGCGTCATTGTCTGGCGGTACAAGGAGGCCCGTCTCCTTCCTGCAGGTTATCTGAATAAAGCAGCAGGGGGAGTGAGTTGGCGTCCCTGGGTGGGCAGATTGCCACCACAGTTCACACCCTATGAACTTTTGTTTGGACGGTCACCGAGGCTCCCAGTTGATCTGGCTTTTGGCTTAGCGGTGAGGGAATCACAATCTCCTTCGCACTCCCAGTATGTGAAGAGCCTCAGAGCACGACTTGAAGAGAGTTACAAGCTTGCATCTCAGAATGCCCAAAAATCCGCTCAACGTAACAAAAATCGCTTTGATCGCCGTGTAAAACCTGCAAGCTTGGAAGCTGGTGACCGTGTGCTTGTCCGGAATGTCAGAATCCGTGGGAAGCACAAGCTCGAGGATAGGTGGGAGCAGGAGGTGTATGTGGTTATCCATCGTACCGGTGATCTTCCAGTTTATGTTGTGAAACCCGAGACCCGAGATGGACCTACTCGCACACTACACCGCGATCTTCTCCTGCCATGTGGGTTTTTGCCAACCTGTGTTGAGGACCCAGAACCTTCTCTCGCTAGAAGACCCCACACTCGCAGCCAGAATAAACATGCTGATCCGGTCATGGAGAGCGAGAGTGAAGATGATGCTCAGTCCATAATTATTCACCACTCTCCTACATTTCCAGTGACCTTCCATGTGGAAGAGACCCGTGAAACTGAGCATATACCAGAGACTCGTGCAGTTGATTCACAAACTTCCCTGCGTCAAAGCTCAACTGAACACTTTTCAGCTGTTCCGGAGTCCCAGCGGGTCCCAGCCGCTGAAGATCCGTCAATGTCCAGCTCCGCTGAGTCCGATCCTCCCGAGGTAGCAGTGGAAGATGTGCCTGTAAACGAAACTGACCAGTCCAAATCTGAAAGTAACTTACCCGATCCTGTCGACCTGCCTGTGGAAAGAGGAGAACTTACTATCATGTCTGAAGAACACCCACCTGTTGCTGAAGCATTACAGGAGCTTGAAGCTGAGGTTCCTGAGCTGGTTCAGTCGCAGTTACCAGAGGGGGATAAAGGGCCAAGACGTTCGTGTCGCAATCGTCACCCGCCACTACGTCTTAGGTATTCCGCATTGGGGAATCCCTTAATCTCAGTTGTTCAAACCCTACTACACAGCCTGTCAACTGTTTGTACTGAGGCACTTAGTCGCGCCGCTGCAGCAGACTCAGTCCCTAGACCGTAATTTTTTATAGTCTCATGCACCGGGTCGCGCATATTCCAAAATGGGGGAGGGTGTAACCCGGTTAATTTTTCAGAGTATTTTCCTTCCCTCCGCAATTCTCGTGATATTTCAGCATCTGTGCGAGACTTGGGCTAGTCGTGGGTTTAAAGATGGCCGCCGCCATCTAGTATTAGCCGTGTGGGACTCGAGTGCTAGAGCTGTTGCAGGTAGGCATCTAAACCATTATTTACGCTAATTATGGAAGTATAAGGGTCACTGTTATGCCTCCAACATTGCAGACGCCTCTTGCCAACTGCGGAAGGGCTGTGCATTATTTTGATCTGCCAAAATATACAGAGAACTGGTGAGTGTTGCATTTGTTTACATGCGGAGCTAACATGCTAAATGCTAACGCCCATTCAACTGTATGAGCGTATTCATATTGGTGCTAGCGCCAGTTGGATCGCTCCTATCACTGTTAATACGTGTTATTGATTGCAATGATTATTGTACTTGGTTTAATAGTGATTTTAATGATATGATGATGAAATGAAATCTATGAATGATGATATATTGTTTGTTAGTTATGAATTGTGATGCTTGATAAATTGTGTCACTTATGGCTGGTCCTGTCTGTACGCACAGGCCAGGTTCCTATTCTGGATGGCGAGCTAAGTCTGGAAAAGACGACAAAGACTGTACCATTGACTCTGCTAGTGCGGTAGGAGGCGCTGCAGCCGCTCCCCACACACACACTACACTCACACCCAACCCGTGTGTGAATGTGAACTGAGACTGTGGACTAAATCTTCCACAAGAACCTGCTTTTATCCTTGGAAATTGGATTACATGAAATGGACTCTTATGGATGAAATGGAACATAATGAACTGTGCACAAATTGTAAATAATGTATATATGACTTCACTGTACAATAACTAAACACAACTGAGCTCAATATATTTGTTGTGTGTGGTTCATTGAGCAGCCCATTTTTCCTCCGAGCTGAACCTAGAGAACCTGATTCTAGCCTGTTGTTGTTATTATTCTTGTCTTTAGTATTCTATTTTCTAGTGTTACTATTAATGTAACATTGTACATGTTACAGACTCAGACTGTAGAACGAGGACTGAGGCTGTAGACCCAGGACTCAGACTGTAGAACAGTCCTCGTTCTACTGGACAGGACGTGGACGTGGACCAGTGGCCGCTGAACGTGGACAGGTCCGGTGCAGGACTGAAGCACTCCCAGGCGGGTCGGGCGGGGCAGTCCGCAGGTGTAGATGGAAGAGGCCAGGCTCAGAGATCCCGTCATCGTACCATGAAACAGACAATGGGACAACGGGTGAATAGCAATGAACAAACTACAGTCAAAATCCTAAAAATGCTAAACAGATAAAGTAGGAAGGAGGAGAGGATAGTGCAGTTACCACACTTCTCCAGCAGGGGGCTCCCTATGCAGCTTGACTGACAGTCTGAGGAGTTTAGGCTTCCCTGAGTCTTACCTTCCTAGCCATATGCTAAACTAAAGAGGACTGTTTTAGCCTAGCATAGAGCGTAGGGTTGAAGATGCAGCGGACCGGGTCCCACATACGCAGACTCCAAGACCGGACCAGACCAGACCGTACAACAACAACCTAACCAAATGCTACCGCTACTGCTTCTACTACTGGTACTGCTACTACTACTGCTACCACTACTACTACTGCGTCTACTACTGCTACTACTACTGCTACCACTACTACTACTGCTTCTACTACTGGTACTGCTACTACTACTGCTTCTACTACTGCTACTACTACTACTACTGCTACTACTACTACTACTGCTACTACTACTGCTACTACTACTGCTACCACTTCTGCTACTACTGCTGCTAGGTTTCCTCCAGGTACTCCGGTTTCCCCTGCCACTAAAAATATGTACAATAGTTCTGACATGAGCCTCCTGTACTGGCCGCTCCCATCTCTGTGTGGAGTGAGAGACAAATGCCCAAAAATAACAATTGTAAACCGCTTTGACTCTGGTCTGTGAAAGGCGGTATATAAATAAATATTACTTACTTACCATTACTACTACTACTTCTACAAAGGTCCACAGTGAAGTTCCCACATTTGCTGTAATCCTTTTCACTTTTAACATTTTGATGAAAATAGTTTTTCAGAATCTGGGGCCAGAAAAACTGCAAAATCAGTCTAACAACAAAAACATTTGTTTTGTGCCGGAGCTAAGTCACATTTTACATTCTCGTGACAATGAATTTATAATTATTTTGAGAAAATTATTCAAAATTATTATCTTTCAAAAAGATCCACAGTTTTCTGCTAAAACATCACGAAACATGTACTTTACATGTTTTTCTCTTCAGAATCTGTTTTTTGTTCTTTCATAATCTGTTATTCAAACAAACATGTGATACAACATACTCCATACTTTATACTCTGTACTTCATACTCCATACTTTATACTTCACAGCACTAGTACTTTGTGTAGTTTGATTGTTGGAACCGTTCTGTCTGCCGCTGAACAATGAGATTCTGTTTTCAGTGAAATCGTCACAACGTCCTGTATTCTAACTGTTGATTCTCTAATCTGATGTTGGGGAATCGACGGGTTTGTGAAGCCTCTGAGACGACTGTGACTCAGAGCTGTATAAGAATGAATGTAGTTGACTTCAGAGTGAGGAAGTCCACAGAAATCTGACTTTGCCTTTCTTGTTTTCTCCTGAGCAGACTGTAAATATATCAGACGGAGTGACACCTCTCTCCGCCGTTCAAACTCATGTGACATCACTTTCTCTTCTGAGGGACTTTTTTAAAATGGCCGCTGGGGAAATGTGAAAAAAACACATTTGTGCGTTAGCTTCATTAGCCTCATTCATCTAACGAGTGCATTCTAAAGTCCACAGAGACTAAACTAGACTGGTCCAAAAACATACACTCGCCTCAGACAGCATCTGGAACCAAGAGGACCAAGAGCCACTTTTGGACCAAGAGCCACTTTAGGACCAAGAACCACTTTAGGACCAAGAACCACTTTAGGACCAAGAACCACTTTAGGACCAAGAACCACTTTAGGACCAAGAACCACTTTTGGACCAAGAACCACTTTTGGACCAAGAGCCACTTTTGGACCAAGAGCCACTTTAGGACCAAGAACCACTTTAGGACCAAGAACCACTTTAGGACCAAGAGCCACTTTTGGACCAAGAACCACTTTTGGACCAAGAGCCACTTTTGGACCAAGAACCACTTTAGGACCAAGAGCCACTTTTGGACCAAGAGCCACTTTAGGACCAAGAGCCACTTTTGGACCAAGAGCCACTTTTGGACCAAGAGCCACTTTTGGACCAAGAGCCACTTTAGGACCAAGAGCCACTTTTGGACCAAGAACCACTTTTGGACCAAGAGCCACTTTTGGACCAAGAGCCACTTTAGGACCAAGAGCCACTTTTGGACCAAGAACCACTTTAGGAACAAGAACCACTTTAGGAACAAGAACCACTTTTGGACCATCCTGTAAAGCCGTTTTCAAAAGGTAAGAAGATGCTATACATTAGCATTGGCTAATTCTTATTCCAGGTTCACCCCTACAGGCCCGGGGTGGTATTGCAGCATGTTCGACCCGCCCAGACTGGGTCAGACAGACTTTGTAAACACACAGGACACTGGTTCATGTCCCGCAAAGTTGGAATAAACTTTCTCCAACAATATCGACCTGTCCCATTGACGCCGTGTCTTCGATCCAGGAACAGACCATAATTATTTCATTAACAAAAGAAAACTGAGTTAGCGTCACTCTTTATGCTCCTCGTTAGCGTCTTTTATTACAGGAATAACTCCAATTTTCAAGGTCAGACTTGAAGGAAGTCCAGTTTCACGGTGACTGTAGTTCTGGAGCGATCTGTGGTGAACGGTCAGAGGCAGATTCCTGTGAGTAGAAATCCCAGCAACAATCACAACATTCTTCTTCTTTGGCTGAAATAGTGATGTCACATATTTGCACCAAAGTTTTCTCCAAGTCAGACGATGCTAACAGATTCAGATTCAGTTTATTTGCCATTTGCAGTAGAAACACCACATTGGAATACATTATCAAAAGTCTCCAGTGTGCACAGACAAATACAGACATAAAACAACATTAAAAGACAAAAATAAAACAAATAAAACAGTAAACAAAAGTCACTGTGAAATGGATCGACTAAAACAGTTTCAAAACAAGTGCAAATCATTAAAGTGCTCTGTTCACACTGATAACAGCCTGTGGATAAAAACTGTTAGCGTAACGAGATGTCCTGCATCTCAGAGAGCGATATCTTCTGCCAGAGGGAAGAAGCTGGAACATGGCTTTCCCAGGGTGGCCAGAAGAGTCATTAACAATCCTAAGAGCTGTGTTTAAAAGTCTGGATTTATAAAGAACCTCCAGAACAGGAAGCTCACAGCCCACGGTCCTCTTTGCAGAGCGGAGTACCTTGTTTAAAGCTCTCTTTTCTTTATCTGTGATGTTTCCAAACCACACAGACACAGAACCAACAAGTAAACTCTCAATGGTGCAGCCATAAAAGTTAAGCACAATCTTAGAGTTAGTGGTAAATTCTCTAAGTTTACGCAGAAAGTAGAGACGCTGACGAGCTTTCTTAACGACTCGGACAGTGTTTTTAACCCATTTCAGGTTAGACAGAGTTAAACCCAGAAACTTGCTCCTCTACGATCTGCACCTGGGAGTTGTCGATTACGACAGGCAAATGAGAACTATTGCGACTGAAGTCGTAGACCAGTTCACATGTTTTGGATGCGTTCAACTGGAGGTTGTTAGTTTGACTCCACTGAACCACATTTTGTATCTCTGCTCTATAAGAGGATTCATCAGTGTTACTGATGAGACCGATGATGGTGGTGTCATCAGCATATTTGATGATCAAGTTTGAGTCAGAGGAGGACACACAATCGTGAGTGTACAAAGTAAAAAAAACACTTGTTCTGTTTTACTTTTGAATGACTTGAAACAGCATGAAAACTTTGGCCGTGTGTGTGAGGCCAAAGAGCACAAAGGCAGAGAGTCTAAGCGTGTTCATACGAGGCCTTTAAAGTCGTGTGTGAAGGCTCCGTACGCAGTGCACTCCAGGCCTCTCCGAACACACGGTTTTTTCTCCACTTGTGTGAGAACATGCACGAGCGAGCGGCGGTAAACAAGCTCTGATCAAAGGTTACAGCAGGTGTGTATTTACTGCCTCCTGAAGGATTTGAACTTTTACTTGAAAAGTGTTGGATTCCGAGCAACGCGGGAAAACAGAAATATCAGGCGAAGATTGACTGAGGAGAGAAACAACACTGGGATTCCCGAGCTGCTTCGGTAAAGTGGTAAAAGGTCTGATGTGTTCGGAGATGTTTTTAACCCCTTACACTCCACAACTGTTTCTTTCAGATTCATAAAAACAAGTTTGAGAAACCTGGGGTCACACAGATGGCAGGTCTTTGTGCAGCGCTGGCCTCGGGAGACACATGTGTTCGTGTTGAGGGTACGGACATTTTTATAAACTTTGGACTGTATTCTATCGGTGAGTTTTGACTTTAAACTGGTCGAGGTTTATCCGAGAAAGTTTTTACATCTTATCTATTTTCTTCACTTTGGGGAATGAAAGGATTTAAATACAGAGATCCAAATGAGTTGCCATCGCAACTCCGAGCTCGGAGTAGAGCCACTGCTTCTCCAGGCCGAGAGGAGCCGAGAGGAGGCGAGAGGAGCCGAGAGGAGACAAGAGGAGACGAGAGGAGCCGAGAGGAGCCGAGAGGAGCCGAGAGGAGACGAGAGGAGCCGAGAGGAGACGAGAGGAGCCGAGAGGAGACGAGAGGAGCCGAGAGGAGACGAGAGGAGCCGAGAGGAGACGAGAGGAGACGAGAGGAGACGAGAGGAGCCGAGAAGAGCCGAGAGGAGACGAGAGGAGCAGGGAGGAGCCGAGAGGAGCCGAGAGGAGACGAGAGGAGACGAGAGGAGCCGAGAGGAGCCGAGAGGAGACGAGAGGAGACGAGAGGAGACGAGAGGAGACGAGAGGAGACGAGAGGAGCCGAGAGGAGACGAGAGGAGACGAGAGGAGACGAGAGGAGACGAGAGGAGACGAGAGGATCCGAGAGGAGACGAGAGGAGCCGAGAGGAGACGAGAGGAGCCGAGAGGAGACGAGAGGAGACGAGAGGAGACGAGAGGAGCAGGGAGGAGACGAGAGGAGCCGAGAGGAGCCGAGAGGAGACGAGAGGAGCCGAGAGGAGACGAGAGGAGACGAGAGGAGACGAGAGGAGCCGAGAGGAGACGAGAGGAGCCGAGAGGAGCCGAGAGGAGACGAGAGGAGACGAGAGGAGCCGAGAGGAGACGAGAGGAGCCGAGAGGAGACGAGAGGAGCCGAGAGGAGACGAGAGGAGACGAGAGGAGACGAGAGGAGCAGGGAGGAGACGAGAGGAGCCGAGAGGAGACGAGAGGAGCCGAGAGGAGACGAGAGGAGACGAGACGAGACGAGAGGAGACGAGAGGAGACGAGTGGAGCCGAGAGGAGACGAGAGGAGCCGAGAGGAGACGAGTGGAGACGAGAGGAGCAGGGAGGAGGAAGAGTGTGTAGAAAGGAAAGTCTCCAGGAACCAGCAATGGATGAAGAAGATGCATGGAATTTTCGAAAAATGATAATAAAATGCAGAGTTAACCAGAAGTTGACAAAAAGCAGAAGTTCTCTTGAAAATCACAACAGTCGTTTCTCAGAGGACTTTGTAAAAACCGTTAAATTTGCCAAAACAGATCAGAGAATCAAACACAGAGTGATCTTATTGCACCGTAGGGTTAGGGCCTGGACTAACGTGCTGGATTTAAAAAGTAAAAGAATGACCACAGGAAGAGACCAATGTCCGTAAATGCAGCGTGTCCTGGACCCTCACAGTCCTTCTCAGACACTAACGGCCCAGACTCCTGCATCAGAGGAAAAAGTCTGAAACCCAGAGGGACAAAAATCAAGTCTCCATCGAGCAAAACTGAGACATGTGAGAGCTCTGACTTTAATAAAACCACTCTGGAATTAGACTGACTCTTCATGTTTGCCATAACATGCGTAATGCAATATTAACGTGTGTTTGTGCGTGCGTGTGTGTTTGTGCGTGTGTGTGTGTTTGTGTGTGTGTGTGTGTGTGTGGATCCCCGTCAGGCCTGAATACAAAGCAGAGTGTTTCCACGGCTCGCAGAGGCGCCTTCGAACACGTCAGCGCTGAAAGTTTAATGCTACAAATGCTGCAGCACAGATGGTCTTCAGCCTCACTCTGCAGAGGAACAGGACACACACTGATACACCAGAAACTACACACACTGATACACCAGAAACTACACACACTGATACACCAGAAACTACACACACTGATACACCAGAAACTACACACACTTATACACCAGAAACTACACACACTGGGACGAGAAAGGGTTGATGTCACCTATCACTTAATTACAGCATGTTTACATGAGAGAGAGAGGAGAGAGACACACAGGAGAGAGAGAGAGAGAGAGAGGAGAGAGAGACACACAGGAGAGAGAGAGAGAGAGAGAGAGGAGAGAGAGACACACAGGAGAGAGAGAGAGAGAGAGAGAGAGGAGAGAGAGACACACAGGAGAGAGAGAGAGAGAGACACACAGGAGAGAGAGAGAGAGAGAGAGAGAGAGAGAGAGAGAGAGAGAGACACACAGGAGAGAGAGAGAGAGAGAGGAGAGAGAGACACACAGGAGAGAGAGAGGAGAGAGAGAGAGGAGAGAGAGAGAGAGAGAGAGGAGAGAGAGACACACAGGAGAGAGAGAGAGAGACACACACAGGAGAGAGAGAGAGAGGAGAGAGAGACACACAGGAGAGAGAGAGAGAGGAGAGAGAGACACACAGGAGAGAGAGGAGAGAGAGAGAGGAGAGAGAGAGAGAGAGGAGAGAGAGACACACAGGAGAGAGAGAGAGAGAGGAGAGAGAGAGAGAGGAGAGAGAGAGAGAGAGAGGAGAGAGAGAAGAGAGAGAGAGAGGAGAGAGAGAGAGAGAGGAGAGAGAGAGAGAGAGAGAGAGGAGAGAGAGAGAGAGAGGAGAGAGAGAGAGAGAGGAGAGAGAGACAGAGAGAGAGAGAGAGGAGAGAGAGGAGAGAGAGAGAGAGAGGAGAGAGAGAGAGAGAGAGAGGAGAGAGAGAGAGAGACCATGAATCCTCTCTGCTCTGGTCTGGACCAGTGTGAAACCATGAATCCTCTCACTAAGGTCTACAGATCCACTTCTCTCGTCGCTGCTCAAACTTCTGTGTAATTACAAGTTCATTATCCGCCGCGACAACAGCCGCTTATGTTCACTTACTGCTTTATGTAATATTTAAGCCGCTCTGTTTGTGACTTTATCCATTTGGCAAACACCGAAAACAAACGCTGACTGTGAAGGAGCGGAGGAGCCTCGAGCGACCGCCTTAAAACTCTCTGAGGGGGACCGCCTTAAAACTCTCTGAGGAGGACCGCCTTAAAACTCTCTGAGGAGGACCGCCTTAAAACTCTCTGAGGAGGACCGCCTTAAAACTCTCTGAGGAGGACCGCCTTAAAACTCTCTCTGAGGAGGACCGCCTTAAAACTCTCTCTGAGGAGGACCGCCTTAAAACTCTCTGAGGGGGACCGCCTTAAAACTCTCTGAGGAGGACCGCCTTAAAACTCTCTGAGGAGGACCGCCTTAAAACTCTCTGAGGAGGACCGCCTTAAAACTCTCTCTGAGGAGGACCGCCTTAAAACTCTCTCTGAGGAGGACCGCCTTAAAACTCTCTCTGAGGAAACAGAACTACACCACAGTGGGCGGCACGGTGGCTGAGTGGATAGCACTCTCGCCTCTCAGCAAGAAGGTCCTGGGTTCGAATCCCGGTCGGTCCAGGGCGTTTCTGAGTGGAGTTTGCATGTTCTCCCCGTGTCTGCGTAGGTTTCCTCCGGGTACTCCGGTTTCCCCTACCACTAAAAATATGTCCAATAGGCATGTCTGGCATGCGCCTCCTGTACTGGCCCCGCTCCCATCTCTGTGTGGAGTGAGAGATAAAATGCCCAAAAATAATAACAATTGTAAACCGCTTTGAGACTCAGATCTGCAGTGAAAAGGCGGTATATAAATAAAGATTACTTACTTACAGTGACCTCAGGGGGGCGCTGTGCTGCTGTGTGGCTTTGAAGCAGCCGGTGTTAAATGGTCTTCGGTTCTCAACAAAAATAACTTTCAGCTTATTGTGCTAAAGCTGGAGTTGTTTACTTTATTCTTACATCTTTTTTCAAGTTTAAAGAGATTTTAATAATAATAATAATAATAATGCATCAGTTTGAGGACGCTCAAAGTCTCTTCACATCATTAACTGTGTGATGCAACTCTGACATTTCCCCACAGTGGGACCATTAAAGGATCTCTTCATAATCTTCTAGATGGTAAATGTGCAATATTTGTTTTTTCTGACTGTAATGTTCTTTTTTATTTGCACTATTAACTTTCTTAACTTTTCTCCTTCGTCTCCGGGGCATAACCCGTCCTCAAGAGGCCTCCGAGGGTCTGGATCTCGGGCTCTCCGCTCCGGTTTGTTGGAATATTATAGGCCGCCTGCACCAGTTAAAACTAAAATCAGTTTAGTATTGTTTCTGTTGCTAAATTAATACTTAAACAACTTAAACGTCAGAATGATTAGGTCTATACAGCACTTGTGTGTGTAAGTTTCAAAGAGCAGTTAGGTCAAGGTTATTATTTCTGAATAAGTAGCAGTTCTGTGTGAAAAGTGTTGTTATCAAAGCAGGTGCAGGTTTTGGCAGCTGGCCAGAAGGAGTCATAGAGTCCATAAAGTTGTGATGTCAGTGACCTTGGATGTACAGTATAAAGAGATGTACAGAAGCAGTCACGGGGGCTTCTTCTTCTGACCAGGAGCAGAGAGACGTCCTCGAGGCCACTTCTTATCTTGAACGCGAAGCGAGGCTTGTTCGCAGACCGTTTAATCTTGTAATATTGCTTGCAAATCTTCAATATAACATCTGAAATCAGGTTTGGTGTCTGTCATTCCTATTACTGTTTTAACATTGGTTTTGTCTCTTGTTGAACTAAAAGGACCTGCAGAACGAAAAGGGCTGTGCTGCTGCGGCCTCTCTGCAGCTTCTGGAGCAGGGGAATTCTGACAGATTTACTGCAGGTTGTCTCCACATGTCCCATCCTCCTGGGGTCTCGGTGCCACGTCTTTCTGGGCCCTCCTCTGTTTCTCTTGGAGGGTTCCAGGTCAGAGCTGGTGATGGTGGAGAGAGGTTTGCGGAGCGTTTGGCTGATCCATTTCCAACTGTGTCTCAGGATCTTGACGTCTGCAGGAAGTTGGATGGTTTTGATTTGTTTTCTGGCACTTATTGCACATTATGGGGACGGTGCAATACTATATTGTAGGTTAGACTTCTGCAATGGCCTGCTCACAGGTCTGTCCAAACAGGCTGTAAAACAGCTGCAGTACATTCAAAATGCAGCAGCTCCAGTCCTGACTAGAACCAGGAAGTACGACCATATTAGTCCTGACTAGAACCAGGAAGTACGACCGCATTAGTCCTGACTAGAACCAGGAAGTACGACCACATTAGTCCTGACTAGAACCAGGAAGTACAACCACATTAGTCCTGACTAGAACCAGGAAGTACGACCACATTAGTCCTGACTAGAACCAGGAAGTACGACCTCATTAGTCCTGACTAGAACCAGGAAGTACGACCGCATTAGTCCAGTCCTCAGGTCTCTGCACTGGCTTCTTGTGGCTCAGAGAATAGACTTTAAAACAGCTCTGCTTGTTACAAGTCTCTCCATGGCCTCGCACCAAAATATATTAGTGACATGTTAGTCCCATATGAACCAGCCCGGACTCTAAGGAGCACAGGGACTGGCCTCCTGCTGGGACTCTGAGGAGCACAGGGACTGGCCTCCTGCTGGGACTCTGAGGAGCACAGGGACTGGACTCCTGCTGGGACTCTGAGGAGCACAGGGACTGGACTCCTGCTGGGACTCTGAGGAGCACAGGGACTGGACTCCTGCTGGGACTCTGAGGAGCACAGGGACTGGACTCCTGCTGGGACTCTGAGGAGCACAGGGACTGGACTCCTGCTGGGACTCTGAGGAGCACAGGGACTGGCCTCCTGCTGGGACTCTGAGGAGCACAGGGACTGGACTCCTGCTGGGACTCTGAGGAGCACAGGGACTGGCCTCCTGCTGGTGCCCAGGGTCAGGACTAAACACGGGGAGGCAGTGTTTCAAATTTATGCATCCAGACTTTGGAACAGTCTTCCTGAGATTGTGAGACAGGCCTCGTCCCCGGCAATGTTTAAGTTTAGGCTGAAAACGGTCTTATTCAGGTGCATATGATTAATCTGAAGCATTTATTTATTTTTAAATGTTCTTAACTTTTATCTTTTTAATACAATATGTTTTATATGTATATACACTGTTTTTGTTTTTGTCTGTTTTTTAACTGCTTGTGAAGCACTTTGGGTTACACTGTATGAATTGTGCTTCATAAATAAATTTGATTGATTGATATTGCAGTCGTCTGTTGCTGTGTGAAGACAAAGTCCTGATGTTGGCTCTTGTCTGTGTCCAACAGATCTGTGAGCCCGAGACAAACAGAAATATGTTCCTTGTTTTCTTTCTG